GGCCAGCACATGTGTGCCAGTGGGCTGAGACTGGTGTTATAGATGAAGAAACACCCTCCGAACTTGAAAGAAATTGGAGAAACCAAGAGGTAAGCCAGTTGTCCAAAGAACTCTGCTATTTTCTGCGTCTCCCCGTCTTGCGCCTCAGCAGTGATTATTGACAGGGGCGCTGTGTGGCTCTGTGTTCAGAGCTGCAGTACCTCACGGTGTTCACCTTGATGATTGATGAGATGGGGCGCTGCGGATGGAGGTGAGGAGAACTTGGGAAGAAAGGGGGATTACCGGTAAATGCGCTGGACGCCTTGAAAATTTGAGAGGATAAATTGAAATTTTACAGGACTAATGAGTTTTTGAAAACTGTTCGCCAGGCTTGTCCAAACAGTTCTCTCCCTATTTAAGATGTTCTAAATTAGAAACTCAGACATTTCAGAAGCTGGCTGGTCCTGAAATGAATCAACAGTCAAAGAAGATGGCCTGCTTCCATGGACTAAACCTACATGGTAGCTCGCTTCCTTTGTAACCGGGTTCAGAGCACTTGGGCCATTGAGCCAAAGTCTAGGTGTTTTGTAACCATCACTGGACTCCGCTGTCAAAACAGAAGTTAATTCTAGGCTTTTGCATTTAACTTTTTATGTGCTGTGGGGTCCTGACTGTTTTCACATAAGCCTAAAATCACATTTTGAGATAAATAACTATACTTTTGAAATCGTTCTTGGTTCAAAGCATGTGTAACCCAGCGGTTGTGAGCACCTTGAAGTCGATTCTCGGGCTGAAGTCTTTGTGTGAGATTTGAACCGGCACTGTTGTGGGCCTGGGGCTACGTTCACGACGTCTGAATCCAGAAGGGTTGCTTTTAGGGGCGACCCATCCACACCCTCTGAACTGTGTAAGTAACATTTGGTCTTAGTACTGGGACCAAAGCCTTCATTTGACACCACTGTAAGTTGGTTTAAATACTATTTGCCTCGATGCATTTAATTTATTTCCCAGGAAAGGGTCCTCATTCATTAGTGGAGACTATTTACTTTGTATCTATCAATACTTCCATTATGGAATATTGCATATTTGAATGTGAGGGATATGCTCTGTGTTCTTCAATATCATTTTCTTCCTACGCAGATCACGTGAAACTATGTCTTTTGCAATATATATATATTACATATATAATTACATATAGTTAATATATGTAATATATTTTATCTATGCTGCCTAGAAATATTCTTAAATGTCATACCGATAAAGACGAAGTTGCTCACAATTTGAATTGACAATAGTTTGAGAAATAATTATAAATTCTAAGTTGTGGGTTTTCATTTCTTGTTTGTGTATTTATTTATTGGCTGTATCAAAACTGTAGCCAGTGTCTTGGTAACCTGCCGGGAGTGGTCCAGAGCTCGACTTGAACCTGTGCTGTTGTTTCACGTGGACGTAATGGGGGAGTCATTGCTTCTGACACGTGCATCTGGCCTCTTCAGAATCCGCCACTTGTACAGACGTCCCTCCGTTTTACCTGAAGCTGCGTACTCGTTGCTACCTCTGTGCTAAACAAGGGTTAAGGGTTTCCACCTGAGCGGCCGTTCTCAACATGGGAGTTGCAACCATTTGTGGGTCATGAAGTTAATTCAGTGGCTCTAAACCAGCTTTTTCAAATAAAAGAAAACAAACTGGAAAATGCGAGACTGCGCAGCAGGTTGAAACGACACGTCCTGCTTTATATCCGTCTGTGTGTGTCGCCGGAATCCCCAGGTGACGTGGTCCAGGCATAACGTGTGCAAAACGTGTAGTATAGAGAGACCTTTTCCTTCATTTCTCTCCATTTCCTTCTTCCTTCCTTCCCTTCTTCCTTCCTTCTTTGAGTTCTTAGGTTACTTAATGACTGGAGGCTGAGACGACAAAACCAGAAGTCTGCCAAGACTATAACCAGGGCTCTGTCGCTCCCCGGCGCAGTCGTAGGCGAGGTCCTCGGCCACCACGCTCCGTGCCCTCCCCTGGAACTCGGGCCTGAGACCAGCACTGTCTCGCGGCTCCTCGTGGGCAGTGAGCTCCTACGGAGGGGACAGCGGGACCGGGGTGCCGTGCAGAGATGTGGGAGCCACACACCAGCAGAGCCGAGATCCACCTCTGTGGGAGCCTCCACCCCATCGCTGACGAGCTGCTCACCTCGTTCTTCACCATTTCTGCAGCCCTTGATTGTGTGTTATTCTTTCAACATGGCATGTTTGGGGCTGGGCTTCTAAACAAAGATGTGTGCCCATGCGTATGAGAATTGTTTGTACATTAATGAAGATGTTCTGCAGCCCTGAGACAGGGACTTCATCCGATATCACAATGAGTCATTCCTGTTTGAACTGACACGTGTTGGAGTAAACGTGACGAGGTTTACGATGATGGGAACCGTCAGGGGATGCATGCTGACTGGGATGACGGGGAGAGGCTGCGGGGGCTTTGCTTTCGGATTATGAATACGCCTGGGGAAACATGACAGCTACTTGGTAACACAGTGGTGAAACGCAACAATTTTTAAAGTGAGACACTTACAAATAAGCACCAGGATCTTGAGGTCTTCAAAGATTATTTATAATATCACATAGGAAATTAACAAGGAGGTCTAGCTAAACCGAAAAATGGAGGGACAAGATATACCTGTCCAACCAAGGCAGGTGTGAGATTCGGAAATCAATGACAGGTTTTAAGAAAGCTGAAATAAAAGTTGTTATTTACAGTACTTCTGTCTGGCAAAAGTGTTTGAACTTTAAGCAGATAAAAACCATCAGCACCTTAATTTGGGGGCTTTAACCAAACTAGAATCTGGGAGACTGCACATGATACTAACAAGCAAGGATTCTGTCCTAATAAATTATATCCTTCTAGACACGTAGAGGGAGGTAGCCTAACTCAGTGACCAAAGAATTATAAACACAAAACTCAAAAGGAGATATAAACTTGATTAATCGCCCTCACTATACAAGGCATAGCCCCGAACTAAACAACTGTCTGAGGCAGTACATACTTTCTGTATTTCTGAGAATCCAGGAGAAACACTGGCTTTGTGTGAATTATGGAAGGACGTGTGTGCTGATTGCCTTTGCAAATGGGATTTTCCACCCAAGGCTTTCTTTCCTTTGCTGCCATAAATCTAGCCCCACAGTGAAAAAGTCGCCTGCGTCATCTGAAAACCTTTGTCTTCAGCAGAATGGGCACAAGCAGTGGTGGAGAACAATCTAATGAGTTTTGTAAACATTCGCCTGTTCTACGATAGAGAAAGAAGAGCGGAACCCAGGCCCCCTTTGTCGAGGAAAATCTGGATGAAATCCCGACGCTGGCGGACGTGGTCTCAGCCAGCAGAGGTGCGTCTCCCCGGCAGTGGGGCCGGCTGCAGGATGCGACCGGCCTCGGGGGAAGCGTTCAGACGGATGGAGCGAATTTCCAAGGTGGTCGGACAGAAGGACTTTTACAGTAGGACGAGGGTTAAAGCAGCACCAGGACCAGTTCACCAGACCTGGGATCACCCCAGAAGGTCCCTCCCAGGACCACCCGAGCACGGGACTACGGTCTCAAAGGTGTGAGCTCAAAAACCACTTTCAAAATGTATGCGTCATGGACCCGATTTGGAACTCTGCCAACCCCGTGTGTCTGTGTTAGAGGGTGTGTACAAGACCCAGCGCCCACTGCCCAGGTCACGCCAGGTCATCAGAGCTTTGGTCAGTCAAGAAAGAACACACCCCGCCACCTGTTGCGTGTTCCGAATCCGCTTTCAAAGCGGCGCTGGTGCCTTTCAATGCCCAGGCCGCAGGGAGAACCTGTATTCCTCTGTCTTTGTCTTTACGCCAACCCTTCTGCCCCACAACTCCCTTCGGTCTACCCTGTGACTGCACTGCCTGGTCCACGGGCGGCCGAGATGGTCCTCTAATTCTGGGGCGCAATCAAGAGAACGGCATTTCCCAAAGCAGCCCTTGATCAGCTGGATTTTAACGTCCGCCCAGTTGATTTTCAGTTTGTTTCAAACAATCGTGATCCTCTCTGGGTGCAAAGCCCTGCAGCCTAAAGTCTTGTTCTAACCGCTTCCCCCATAAGTCACCTGGTGTTCATGAAAACATGCAGGTAGAAAATGAGGCCCTGGGTGCAGACATGGCCAAGGAAACATTATATAGGAAAACACAGGTGGAGAGAGGTAAGCTGGTTTTCTTTGCTGCGGGACTTCTCAGAGCCTTAACTAAGCTAATGACTCTTGCGATCTTCATGAGAGGCGTGCGGTGTGTGGGTGCCCCAGGTGGACCCCAGATTGGCTTTGGGAACCCCGCCTCCACACTGCTCTGGCTACGGCGGCCATTCCACATGACAGCCAGCCCCACAGCCCAACACCCGCCACGGCCCAACAGTGGCCTCGGGTCAGATCTGCCCCACACCCTGCCAGGTTCTCTTCTCCTTCGTCACTTAATTGTGCTTCCTTCTCAGGCCTGGGCCTGGAGACCACCTCCCCTCAGACTGGCTCCTAGGGCCACCACAACAAAGTGCTGCAAAGTTGGCTTCAAACAACAGAAACGCATCCTGTCACAGTTCTGGGCACGGGAAGCCCCGAATCAAGGTAGCACCTGGGCCACGCTTCAAGGGATGGTCCTTCCTCGTGTCTTCCAGCTCCGGTGCTGCTGGCAGTCTTGGCTGGTAGACCTGTCACTTTGGTCTCGGCCTCTGTCCTCACGGTCTTCCCCCCGTGTGTCTGTCCAAACCCCTCCCCCTACATGACAGGCATTGGGTTAGGGCCCACGCTAGCCCAGTGCGACTTCATCTTACCTAATTACACCTGCAGAGACCTGTTTCCACATGAGGGGACATCGGCAGGTACCAGAGGTCAGCAGGGAACACTTGGACATGTGATTTTTGGGGCGTGCGGTCCAAGCATCAGCAGGCTACCTCTTCCTACTGGCTCAACAGAGTCACAGCCGAAGCGGATGGCACAGCAGAAGTTTTGATAGAGGGACCCTGCAGGGCTTCTTAGACAGGTGACAGGCTGGCGGGATCTGGAGGCCACCAGGGCCAGGGCCTTGAGAGGAGGCCTGCCGTCGGGAGCTGTGGACAAGGGTCAAGTGCCCAGTTACTGCCCAGAGCAAGGGGCCTCCCCTCCCCTCGGTCCTCCAGCTGGTCTGCCCCACAGCCAGCGGTCCCTTCCCAGGGCGTGAGCACCACAGAGCCCCTGTGGAGCCACGGGACAAGACACAAGCCCGTGGCAGGCTTCCAATCTCTAAGTTCTGGCTTTGGTTCTGGCTTTGGTTCCGAGCTGGGCAAGGATGGCTCAGCAGGATTCAGCAAGCAGAGGTGTGCCGGTCTCGGCCACCATGTGACATCTACCTGGAAGTTCCGATCTCTGGCCGGGTCTGAGGAAGTGTGGCCTGCGTCCCTGCATGGCCACCGTCATCTGGAGCCCAGTAGCAGCTGTCCGCTGGGAAGACGGCAGCAACAGCGACTTCCTCAGCTGTCACCAGCATGCCTGCGAGGCCACAGGTGCCCTGAGTGTGCACACCTGGTCTGCAGGTGCACCTGTCGGGGCTCTGTGCCGGCACCCCTGCATGGGCAGCGTCGGCCTGGCAATACCTGTGCCGTCTTCCAAAGCCAAGAGCAAGCTGGCTGTCCTCGGGGATGTGCCGTGCCCTGCCTCTCCAGGCCAGCGACCATGCAGACGTCTTGAATAGGTGGCCTGAGATGAGGGCACAACCAGGAAAAATCCCCCAGAATCCTCCCCAGTGGGGACTCAGCCTGGCGCCACAGATGCCGTCACTGTACGGAGAGACTCGGGGTTTGACAACAGTGGTGTTTGAACAAGCATCTCAATACTGTCAAATAGTTTCCTGCAGGTAAGCGCCCGGGATGAGGAGCGAGGCCCGGGGCCTTCCATGGAAAACCTGAATGAAGGCCCAGGCCCTCTCCCCGGGCGTGGGGGCTGCGGATGATCTTCAGATCCCTTTTCCCCTTTTGATTTCCTGTCATGAAACATAACACAGAAAATAAAACAAAGCAGAAGGAACGCAGGCCCCTTCATATTGTGGCGAGATTGGCTAAAGCGGATATAATGACGGTATTAAATGTATTTCTCACAATTGACATCGCCTAATTCACCTTCTTGGAATGACATTGATGGAGAATTCCTTTCAGATGGATGACTTTTTATGTGGAATCAATTTGGTTTCTGAGAAAAAGAAATGAAAGCCGACAGCCGGAGGGAGCGGGAGGGCGTTTCCAATGGCGTCACTGTTCAGAAAGCGTTTCTTTCTGTCGCGTCGTTCCTATTATTAAGGAAAATTTCTTCCCGAGGATGTGTTCCTTGGTGAGCTGTGCTGACTGTATGAATCAAGGAGAAACCACCGTGGCTCGTCAGCCACGTTCACGGTGTGCGTGGGCCGAGGGCCGCCCACCTAGCTGCACCCCCAGGCTGTCCCGGCTCCGGGCATGGCCCCGGCACCCACCAACCCTCCGCTGATCTGCCTGGCCATTCTTGGTCCTCGGGGCTGCAGCCCCGTTGCCTGCCACCCACGGAGGGGACCTGCTGGTGCCCCACAGGAACTGCCCCGAGACGTGAAGGTGGGGGTACCAAGTGAAGGTACCACATTTGCTTCATGGTTTCATTCAGCCTGGGGTCATTCCATGCCATAGTCACCGCGCAGCATAGTCAGGGTCTTCACGGTCCCCACCAATGTAACAGGTTGCTTGTCTAGTATCTTGACTGACACATTGCAGGGGCTGGACCTGCACAGTCGAGTCAGCTTGTGGGGGGCCCGTGAACAGCCCCATGCAAGGGCTTGGAAAGCAGGCCAGACGGCCCGAGTCCTAGGGGTCCCCAGCAGCCCTGGCACCTCCAGGAGGCCCTGTGCCGTGGGTTTGGACTCAGGCCCCGGCCCAGATCTGCACGTGGTTCTTGTCTGAGGAGAACAGAAACGACTGTCCTTTACAAAGACACTGAAATGGCCCATCTCTGAGGCCCGGTCAGGGCTGAGGCCGGACCGTCCTTTGCCGGAGCTCCGGGGACACAGAGAGAAGGTGTCCCACTGTCCCGGAAGGACGAGGGAGCAGTGTGAATGTGGGCAGTGGGGACGCTGGCTGGCGTCCAGGCTCTGTGCTTCCTCGTCCAACCTGACTCCCTGAATCTGATCCCCAGCGCTGGCGGTGGGCACCACCCCATTTCTCTCCAGTGTTCCTCATCTCCAGACCCATGCGCGGGCACCTTAGACAGGTGACAGGCTGGAGGGATCTGGAGCCCGCCAGGGCTGGGGCCTCGAGAGGAGGCCTGCGGTCGGGAGATGTGGACGAGGGTCAAGTGACAGTTACTGCCCAGAGCAAGGGGCCTCCCCTCCCCTCTGTCCTCCGGCTGGTCTGCCCCTTAAGCAGCGTTGGCTTCGCGGGCTGTGAGCACCACAGAGCCCCCATGGAGCTGCGGGACAAGACAGGTTCTCACCGGAGGTTTCTGGCCACCAGCTGGCTGGTTTTCTAGCCGGACTGGCTGGTTCACATGACTTATGCACCCCCCACTGCTGTCCCGTGACAAGCTCCATGGAACCAGCCCAAGGGGCCTGGAGAAGAGGTGCAGGCCCCCCGTATGGACACATTACCACAAGCTAAAGTCCATGCTTCATTCATTCCCCTGCTCTGTACCCCATTTCCTTCCCCCTAATGTCCTCGTGTCCTTTTCCGGCTCCAGGTCCCATCCAGGAACCCCCCCATGAAGTTAGCCCTCGGGCAGGGTGAGAAGCCAGTGGCCAGGCTCTGCCCGGGCTTCCCGGCTGAGACACGGTTAGGCCAGGAAGGAGACAGAGGCCCGGAAACACTAGGAATCAAGAAAAACCTCGCGCTCTGCTGTCTCCAATGACACTGGTTCGGATGCCGTTGTCGGGTACGAGCTCCCGTTTCATCCAGAACACGGCCCAACACCATCCAGTTGTTTCCTAGCAGAATGTTGAACAAGCTTAAAATTATAAGAGGATGTGCTTAGAGATATTCTCTGTGTGATGAAGGACGAACGGATGGCAGAGACGAGGGAGGAGGGATGGGAGCCGGCTTGGCAGCCAGGGGCTCCCCTGAGACCCAGCGGGACACGTCCCAGCGGGAGGCTTGCGGCTAAAAGGTCCCTGATCCCACGAAGTTCTCGCTGACCAGCTCCTGGGTGATTGATTCAAGTCACATGATCCAGCCCAGGTCCGGCGTGTTCCCAGAAAAGTTCGGCTAAGGATACACCGGCTGCCTGTCCCTCCCTCGGCGCTAGGCTTCTGGCTTCCAGCGTTGTCACTATGAAAAATAAAATACTTAGGGCCTCAAGAGCTGCTTTTAATTAAATTGCAAGCTTCCCATTGGGGGCGTCTGCACATCCTGCTGCTGCTGTTTATGTGGAATGAGCGCTGTTCAGGGCTCCACGCGAGCCTGCCTGGGGCGGCGAGCGCTCCTGATCACTCCCTGCCCCTGGGACCCCAGGCCCAGGGCCATGCGGGAATGGGGTCCCACTGTCATGGGGGTGACTAGGCCACGTGGAAACAACACTGTGACGTCGTCACCTTCGCCCAGGGAGGCAGGAGGCAGAGCCTTCCCCTTGTAGGACTCCAGTGTGCTGTCGCCAAGAGATGGGAAAAGGCTTGAAACCAAAGGCAGGTCTGTAGTGTATCTGGTAGGTGACCTGGCCTGAACCAAAGCGCATGTTTCTACAGGCTATAGAGGTACACATGCATGCCCAGGTATGTGCACTGTGTACGCTCCATCCATCCATCCGCATGTCCTCCGGTGTGATGACCGTGCCGCTGCCAAAGTGTGTGATTGACACCCACGCGGCGTGTGCCATGGGCAGGGTTACTTTGCTCGAGTCCAGAGCACCCTGAATCTCGAAGGGAAGGGTCTCAGTGAATGGAGGGAAGGTCTGTGTCTGTGGATTGTCCAGATGTGGTTTTTCTCAAACTGGCCGTGTGCAGGGCCGTCCAGTCCAACCCAGCAGACACCGCACCGAAGCTACAGCAGAGGCTGGGACGGCGGTGAGACGGCGCCTGGCTCCTGGGCACGGGAGGACGTAGCCTTACCTTTACCCAGAGGAGGCGGGCTTCGTATTTCCGAGCAAGTATCATGTTCTGGTCAAAGCAACATGATCAAGATGGCCCGCCCTGGTATCGCTGCTGCTGGTTTAAAATCTTCATGTACTGAACTGTGTGCAGGGAACCTAGTGGAAATAGGGTGGACACACAAGGATGAGTCTGGGGTTTCCCACAGGGCCCAGCATTTCCAGTTTGGCCGCAGGGTGGACACAGGCCAGTACGGCTGTCTCAGGTGAATTCCATCTTCCGTGAGCATGTGTCTTAGCTCTGGCCCCAGCACTAGTGGGTAACACTGGTCCTCGCTGCCCATGCGGCCCCTCCTCCACCCAGGGCCCCTCTCGGGGAGCTTTATGTTCAGTGTGTTTCCTTACAAGCGCTTCTGAATTTTAAAATTTATTTTTAACTGTGTAAAATCTCCCCTTCGATGACATTTCCTATTTAAAAGTGTTTTTCTTTCCATTTTCAGCGTTATGCCTGTCCATAACAGAAAATGTGGCCAATATAAATGGGTGTGAAAAGGGAGCTTCGCCCCCCCCCCCCCCCCGCCACATCACCAGCGATGGCCGTCTCTGGCGTTCCCACGCATGTCCGTGCAGTCTCTCCGGCGCAGACCCAGCACACGTGCACGAGACACACGCGAATGAGCATGGTCTCACGCTGGCCATGTAGCTTCGTGCCTCTAGTTTTGAAAGTGTGGGGCTGCTGCCTGACCATGTGGATGCTGGTTGTTTCTGTGGGATCTTTTTTGTTTGCTTTTTAAATATGTTTTCATTGATTTCTTAGAGCAATAGAAACATCGGTGTGAGAGAGAAACATCAGTCAGCTGCCTCCTGCACGCCCCCCACTGGGGATCGAGCCCACAACCCAGTCATGTGCCCTGACCGGGAATCAAACTGAGACGTCTCAGTCCGTGGGACTGCGCTCCATCCACTGAGCCACACCAGCCAGGCCTGTGGGATCTTTTGAGGCACAAGAATCAGGGAGCAAAGTGCTCCCCAAAGTCCTGCAGTTGCAATGGAGGCCCTGGTTTGTATGGGGCCCACGGACAGGTGACTACCACAGAAGTTAAAAATACACTGGTGTGGCTCCCAAGGGCGGGCCAAAAAGTAAAATAAACGGAGTTTGGTGGTCTCAGGGGCTTCCTTGAATGTCCTTATAATGCTCTGTTTTCCGAGGGAAAATACTACGGTTCAAAGATTTAATAGGAAACTGCTCTATGTCCAGAGGTGCATGTCTCTCCACTTTTATAAATATGTTTAATAATAGTCGTTCTGTCCAGAGGTGTTTGCGTCGACTCTTGCAAACATGGGCTATAACGTACACCTCTCGCGTCTCAATTACAAGGGAAATCATTTGAGACAGCGTGGCCTCTTCTGACACACTGTCAGCACGACCTCCCCAGAGCCAGGGGCTTTACTTTGTTCATCTTTTCACACCGTCATCTCGCTCGGGGAAGGGAGGAGCTGAGAAGGTTGGGTACAATGTTTCACGTTACACTGGAAGACGATCCCGGCGCCCGTCCAGCTCCCGCAGCATTCGGGTTGGGACGGAGAGCAGGTGAGCGCCCGCTGGAGGCTGACGGACAGGAAGAGCTCACCTGGGCGGGGCGCTCACCTGGGCGGGGCGGGAGCCCGGGGGTGGGGAGCTGCAGCCTCTGTTCTGGTCCACACCCCCGCTCAATGGAGCAGTCCTTTGTACGTCTCAGTGGACAGAATCAAAGGCTGATGTGGATTTATTCCAGGCAATTACTCCCTTTGTTTTTCTTAATTCATGAGTATTAATATTCTTTAATGAGGATTTTTTATTGTTTATTTTTTCGAGGGAGCTCTGCTTCCCTCCTTTCGAGCATTAGTGAGCTCTAAGTGGTGGAATAGTCACAAAGTGTACTAGCAGCTCTTTACACAGGGACGAGGAGGGGAGGGCTTGGTGAGCCCTCTCATAGGAGTGAGTGTTCCTGTGATCCTCAGGTTCTGCGAATGTCAACAGAGTCCAGAGGTTGTAATGTCGGTTTGATGCCCTGGCTTGCAGTCTCTCTGTCTTCCACGGCAGGCCTGATGGGGGGCACGATTCTTAGCCTCAAATACCTGGGCCAAAGAAAGGAGAGACGAGGAGATCCCAGCAACGATGTTGACTCGACACGTGAACATCCTTGTTCTTATGTCTGTGCTCAGCACTTACAGGACTCTCTGACTTGACTCTCAGGTAAATATTTTGACACTCATACTATTGTTATTCCCATTCTCTGGGCAAGGGCCCTGACACTCAGAGTTGAGCACTTGCTGAAGATCACAGACAGGTGAGGGAGAGAAGACTGAGCCCAGGTGGCCTGCTCCAGCCCACCAACTCTTAGACATTGACCCGTTCAATGAAGGCATCACCGCCCCTTAGCACACACCAGGAAATACATTCATTGTACTCTCTTGTGGCTGTTACATTTCTACAGTCAAAATATTGGCCAAAAATGTGTATAAGGAAGAGATATTAATACAAAATAGCAAATGTGATAATAATGATAAACATGTGCATAGTATGCTTTTACAAGACAAATGTGAAATTATTGGAAAAGTTGTTGTTCATGGAGCTTCTAGTGAGAAGGGCAGGAGGGAGAAGGACCCACTGGCCAGGTTTGAAGGGCTTGTCACCATGCTGGGAACTCGGACACACCCTAAGCACCACGCAGAGGCCGGCACACCCGGGGAGGCCGGCTCAGCTTTGCTCTTGCGGAAACCACGCTGGTCACAGTGTGGACACTATCCACAGCCTTGGCCATAGGTAAGCAAGACGTGGGCCATAATCATGACTCCGGACCCGGCCAGCAGCCAGCGCTGGGCCCCAAGACAGTCCACCCCCCGACCGAGGTGTGGCTTCGCTCTCCCTCGGGGTCCAGGGCTTTGGCTTGGTGGCCACGCAGAGCCTGACAGCAGGGACTTGAGGACATCCGCGGCTCGACCCAGACACCGCAGGCAAGGCAAGGCCGCGGTGCGCCGTTAGACAGTCACAGCGGCACGTCAGACTGTAGCCTGCGTTTTCTTGTGTTAATACTGTAGAATCCGACATCTGGAACAAGTCAACGTTACATTTTCTCGTGAAACATCCCAGCGGGACAACCCAGACCTCTTCGTTCTGAGACACGAAAGCCAGAGGAACATTCTGCATTCCGACATGAAGGAAGCGTCACTGTCTCTGTGCGTTCTTGTACACAACTAATACTCGCGTTTAATTTCCCCGGTAAACGTGCTCGGCGGTAAACAAACAAACCGTCAGAGGCCGCAGCGAATGCTCCGCTGGCGGACTGTAAATAATGACATCAGGCGAAACCAGAGCCCGCAGATGGCGGGCAGAAGGAAGGCTCGTCCCCCTCTTCACTGAGGGATACATTACACACCGCAGAATCCTCTCCTTCACAGTGGACCATTCAGGTTTTAATGTATTCACAGTCAGGCAGCATCGCCACAGTCTAATTTTAGAAGAGTTTCTTCGGCCCCCAGGAAAGCCGGTGCCCGTCAGCACCCCCACCCAGCACGGGGCCACCGCGGATCTACTGGTGTCTACAGAATCGCTCATTCTGAACGTTTCATGTAAAGGGGAGCATACCACATGTGGTCTAAGAAAGATTGTTTTTCATTGCAATTTTAATAGCTACATCCCCATAATGAGAACTTTTTTATACGACAACTTAAATTGCTGTTCCTGACAAGGAGCAATGGCAAAGAAGCCCCATTCGAAGCACGGAGAGGCCTAAACAAGGGTCTGAGAGACGTTCCTGTGGCCTTTGAGGCTACAGCATCCCAGGCCGATGTCAGGATGCTCACTGCCACCACCCTCAGGCCCACCGGCCACCTCCTCTCAGTTGCCCATACAAAGTGAATGGACAGTGGTCACCACCTCAGTCGTCATGGAGTTATTAGAATCTCAGTCAGCCTCTGTGGGTTTTGACAGTCCAGTGCCACTTGACACATCCTGAGAATGTATTTTCTAAAGGCTGGCACTTTCCATTCAGAGTGTGCACATGCACACGCACACACAAGTACATGTGCACACGCATGCACACACAAGTACGCGTGTGCACACATGCATGCACAAGTACACATGCACACACAAGTACACATGCACATGTATGCACACACACATACACACATGTACACACAACTTTAATATCATGGTTTCTACCACAGACGGACCCTGTATCTGCTAAAGGGCTGCCCTACATGGGACTTATTGCATTGGCCTCATTTCAAAGATGGTCTGTCTTTTATTGCATAGAATTTAAACTCCAAAAATTAACCAATGTTGGGGAAAATGCAAGAAAATCATGGCCCTGGCTGGGTGGCTCAGTTGGTTGGAGTATCATCCCTTACACCAAAAGGTTGCCGGTTTGATTCCTAGTCAGGGCACACTCCTAGGATACGGGTTTGATCCCCGACCAGGCCGTGAACAAGAGGCAACCGACTGATGTTTCTCTCTCACATTGATGTTTCTCTCTCTCTCAGAACTGATGACAACATGTCCTCGGGTGAGGATTACAAAAAGGAAAAAGAAAATCATGTTGTCTGATCAGTTTACAATTTATTGTGCTGTTAATTTTGATGACCAGTTTTATTTTATATCTATTTTGGTTGTCATTGCACTTTTGCCTATTGAATTCCTTTGACATATCAGCGAACGCAATGATGACCACGGAGTGGTCAGCATGCTCTCCATTCTCCCAGTAGGAACTGTGGGATATTTCCCACAAAGGTCACTCTGTACACAGTCCCTTCGTCACCCACGCGGGGCACCTGGATACTATGGCAGCAGTCTGCTTCCTCGGTAACGCATTTCAACAATCACACTGCAATTCTGTCTTTAAATCAGCTCTGTGTCTAGACCGTTACATGGGTGACAATCGTCCAAACTGGAAAGGTCTTTTTCAAAGAAGTGATTCATACCCTATCACTGAAAACAGTTTGAAGACTGATGAATCCCACTTATGGGACTAGGCAGGCAAACGAAAAGGTAAAAGAATGAATGAGTCTGCAATAGAAGCAGAAGTCTGTAATAAGCCAGGACCCCGTCGGGCTAGAATATGTCTGTTACGTCTGCACGATGCCCTGTCATCCCAAAGACCTTAGCGACATTCGAGAACACGGTGCAGTGACCCTCCCTACCCAGGACCCCGCCCCGGGTCATGCTGCTCCCACCCGAGTTTATCTGCGAGTTGGGACATGGGTCCCCTTTCTGCCCAGAGTTCCCACAGCTCCCACTCTGTGGTCGGCTGACCACGGGGACACTTAGCTTTGAACGTCTCCACGTTCTTGCTCAATAGTCACATCCTAAACAGCTACATGAGGCCACAGCTACACTTTCAATGATTGTTTCTAGGTAATGGGGGATGTTCTTGCTTTTTGATAATTATAAAAAGATAAATAATAGCCCACCTTAAAATTGCTTATTTTGTACCAGGCACTAAGCTGGATGCTCAAAACAGATGATCTCATTAACTCCTCCTGAGGCTTGGCGGGGTGGGCACCAACATTCCTGTTGAACCGAGAGGACACGAGATGATGAAGATCCACCAGCAGCTTGCGACTCACGCCCAGATGGAGGGTAGGACTCAGGTCTAAGCCCACACTGTCGACCACTCCGTCCTTCTGCCTCAACGACATGTATGATTCTCATGGTAGAAGGACATTTTTCTTTTTATTTTATGTTTTCAGAAAGAAATCTTTTTCCCCCCCTTTATTGACCTTAGAGAAAGAGGAAGGAAGAGGGAGAGAGAGATAGAAACATCGATGAGAGAGAACATTGTGGGATCAGGCCCACAACCTGGGCATGTGCCCTGACCGGGAATCAAACCGGTGACCTCTTGGTGCAGGGTCGATGCTCAGCCACTGAGCCACACTGGCCGGACCATTTTCCTTCTTTTTTTAAAAAAAGGAAAACACCGACAAGTGCTTTTTGAGGGGTTTTCCTTAAATTTTGTGCTTCTTTCTTACAGAGAGTGTATGATTTCAGAGGTGAATTCGTGACACCAGTCATATTTTATAAAGCTTTTATTTTTTCTATTTTATTTTGGTACATGCCCCTGGCGGGAACTGAACCTGGGACTCTCTGGTTTGCAGGCCGACGCTCCAACCGCTGAGCCAAACCAGCCAGGACTATCTCATAAAACTTTTAGTGGTTAAGTTCTAAACATTCTGAAAATAACACTTAGAAGTCACTTCCTGCCCATCCAGGCCCCTGCTGTCCCCACGGGGCAGAGCCAGGCGGCTGGGTCTCTGCGGTGTCCTGTCACGACTCAGGGCACACGGGCACCCGGGTACAGTCTGCGAGCGACTGGCTCTTGAGTCCTGGCTTTTCTTTTAGAAAACAGTCATGAACACAGGTCATGAGGACACACATTTCTGTTTCCATTGTTTTTTTATCCTCACCCGAGGACATTTTTCCATTTTTTGTTCAGATAGAGTGGGAGGGAGAAACATCGACGTGAAAGGGACACATCGAGTGGCTGCCACCCGCACGACCCAACCAGGACCAGGGACAAACTGCAACCGAGGTACGTGCCCTTAGCGGGAACCGAACCCGGGTGTCTCTGGACCGCAGGCCGACGCTCTAACCGCTGAGCCAAACCGGCCAGGGCTGTTTCCATTATTTAAAGATATTCAATCCTTTGGTCTCAACTTAAATGAAGATTTTTCACAATATTAAATTTTCATGGAATTGACAGCCTTCAGCAAAATAAGTACAAGTAATTTACCTGATAAAAGAATGTCAACAGCAAGCACAGAATAATTTGCGTGGTGATAAATTGTACCCATCCTTCTCAGGAAGAAAGGGACTGCTGCGCTTGAGTGGATGGGGGTAGGGTCAAGGACGGGCTCTCGTGTTTAATGTGCAGCTCGCGAAAGCTTGGCTCCGTCATTGCAGATGCAAATTGCACCCAATAAAGTTATTAGAATAATCGCTGCTGCTCAGCACCTGCATATTTGATGAGTTTGAGCGAGACAGCGGCCGTTATGCACACGCAACACCTCCAGATTCTCAGTCCGGAGGCATCAGGTCCCACCCTGCCCATCTCCACCCGAGTCCGTGGTTGTCTTCAAAGAGTAGTGTCATTGGTTATGAGCTTGGAGTGTACCCGGAAGGACAAGACATGCAATCTGCAAGGTCGTCTGAGCGCCCCTCGCACACGGCATCACGGACAGACAGCGACCCGTGCTTTCACTGGCTGGAGAGCGTAGGTTATGAAGGGACAACAGGTTGTCTAAAATACAGCGAGCACAGCAGCTCATAATGAACTGGACGGCCACTCACTTCAACAGCATCTGTTCAGAGCCCAACCTGTGTCCGCACAACGGAGACCCCGGCAGCTCATCGCCAGCGACCAAGGCCAGGCAGCAAGCAGGAAATGACAGAGAGGAGAGGGCCAGCAACAGCCCAGAGGGTGCAGCCGGGCGGGAAGCCAGGTTCTGGGAGAGGGTGCCAGGTTGTGTATTGGAACCAGTGGCCAGAAGCCTCACGGGAAGCCGGCTCTGAGCACGTGCGCGAGGGGTTGTCAGATGTAGCACACAGCTCCAAAGAGCTCCCGTTATCTTGTCCTGTTGACAGTGTCCCTCGACGGCTGGCCGTGGCAAGGCAGCAGGCCCTCGGCGCAGAGCAGGGAGACAGGGCCATGTGGGACCAGAGGGTTCAATGCCCCAGAGGCCGGGGGTGGGGGGGGGGACATCTAGTTTCTTACTTCTATGGTGAGAGATGGGTCTCACATGAAAGGGAAGATGGGCAATGCCAACTACAGCACCTCCGCACAAGGTGGAAGTCAGTATCCACCACCAGCCTTTCCTTCCGGAACGAGTCTTCAGTCTGGAAGGTAGACAATCTCTCTCCACAGACATGTGGGCAAAAGTAGGTTCACACTTATGAAACCCAAACCACAAAATTTATTCTTGCATTATTATTTTTTATTGTATTATTTTCCATACAAACAACTGTAAACCTGTTTTTTTTTTTTTCTTTATTGATGTTAGAGAGAGGAAAGGAGAGAGAGAGAGAAACATCGATGAGAGAACATCGATTGGCCACTTCCTGCATACCCTCCACTGGGGATCAGGCCCACAACCTGGGCATGTGCCCTGACCAGGAATCGAACCGGCGACCTCTTGGTGCACGGGTCGATGTTCAACCATTGAGCCATACCGGCCAGGTTGTAAACCTATTTTATCACTCCTGTATATATGTCCTAAAATTTTGTTTTATATGATTCTCTTAATGCAAATGCTATTTTAACAAAATGAGTTGACTGGTTTCTATTTCTTCAAAATAAAATATTTTATACACACTACATATATAATTCCATATATATGGAATATATACATATATACATATGTGTATATATACATATACATATATACATACACACACACATTCTGTACAGAATTTTCTGGAGATAAAATGATAATATGGTGGTACTTGGTATTATTATACCCGCTCTTGGGAATTTTCAAGGGATCTTTTTTTTTTTTTTCATCACTATTGAAAGTACCCTACATGATCGCTTGTGGGCTTCCACAGTTTGCAATAAATATAGTCCATTTGAAATTTTTTATTTTAAGACTTTTGAAGTGATTAGCTCACCCGCCTGAAGGGGCCGAGACCAAAACGAGAGGTCAGCAAAGGAACACGCCTCCTCTAGAGCGGAGACTTTGCATTCCTGTCGTGATTGACACCCTGGTGTTGTGCCCGGCAAGACATTCTCAGGCGTTCAAGTTGAAGGTGGAAGGACCGGTCAGCCACACCACTATTGACAGAATGGCCTTCCCTGTGTCTGCACAGTGGAGACCCCAGCAGCTCATCGCCAGCGACCAAGGTGTCCATGACCAGACTCCACTGGGTGCAGTTTGATCCCAGCTTACCTCGTCTTTGGACAACCCTCTGAAAGCCTCAGAAGCTATTAATTACATTTTCCCCGTTTTGATCGAAGACTTGCAACATTGATGGTTCATTCAAAGCTGTAATTGACCAAAAGCTTAAAGGAAACTTTAAACCCTCCAAATGCATTGTTCTAAATGCTCTTCAGCCTGATCTCAAGCAATGGAAAACTCTTCCTCCAGTTCTTGGGCTTTTCTAAGGTCTGACTGAGGTTGCACTTGCCAAACAGATTCCACGTGTACACACACCCATTCACAACATGCACATATGCTCACACACATGCACGATTTTGTGGTTGACTTAAATGAAGAAAATGAGAAGCTGGAATAAATCACTGCACAAATATATTTTGTGTCTAAATCATGAACTTGCTATAATGAATGTGAGAATATTGTGTAGTCAATTGAATGAAAACCTTATTCTGTTGCAGTTACGTTTTCCTTTTTATAACCAATCTGGGCACCATAAATCCGGAGGGTGCTTAATCTTTCCCCTTTTAAATACATGTCTGTACTTCTGTTCAAGGAGTGAAATATGATGTTGGAAATCTTGTATTTTGGTCCATGTTGAGATGCTCTGAGTTTGGCTGCACAGGAGAAAGAGGTGGAGTTAAAGGTGATTTCTGTGTAATAACATCACGTCTAACCCCAACTGCGAGAGAGAACACGTTTCTTTCCAGGGAGAGTCCACAAGAGCAAAGCAAAGCAAGCCTCAGGAAGAAATGATGAATGTGAAAACTGGCCCTTAAAACTGCACTTAAAGCCCTGGCTGGTTTGGCTCAGTGGTTGGAGCATTGGCCTGTGGACCAGAGGGTCCTGGGTTCAGTTCCCGCTAGGGGCACGTACCAAAAAAATAAATAAATAAAATTGTACTTAAAGTCAGCCTTTTACAAGATTCATCTTTTATGATAGGTGTTTTTTTTTAATATAAAAATACCTATGCATTACAATAACAGTCTTCAAAATTTTCTGCTCATTGACCCCCTAAAAGAACTTTGGATACTATGTATCCCTTCATACATTTTGTATTGACAGCTCCAAGTTTTCATTATAAGTGTAAATAGATATAAATGACACATTTTCAGCATGTAGTTAAGTAGTTACATTTTAAAATGTAAAACAGAATTCTGACATCTTTCAAATGCACCAATGACATTTAAATTCCATAATGATTTGATACTGTCATCCATTTTTAAAAATACATAAGGAAGCTCTTCAACATTTGAAAACCTGTCATTTTGCTAAAGTACAATTTCAAAGAGGTACAATAACTCTCGTGCAGATAGGTAATAAACATTTACCAAAAAATGATTCAACTTATTAAATAAGAGGGAAGATAATGAAGGAAGAACACCTCAGGACCTAGGTATTTATAGCCAATTTCGTAAAGGATGTTAGGATAAGATTTCTGGGTTATATACAAAACTGGTTAATATCCTAAAGGACAACAAACTATATTATTTTGTTTGGGGTTATATTTTTCTTACTGGACAGAAACTATTTGTGTACCTACTCACAAAAACCTTTAAGTTAACATGCATTTTACCAAGTTGGGGACTTTTAATAAACAGTGAACAGGGAGTTGAGGAAAGTGCATTTTCTGCCTTTAACGGACATGAAATGATACACCAGCATCCTGTTTACCTTCTTTCCAAGTTCAGCCTCTAAAACTCAGCTGGCAACTTTGGGTAAGCGATTAAGAAGGTGGACTTTCATCCATGTTGGATATTTGCTCAGGCAAATCATTTTCCCCCACAATCAGCTTATCTAGAGTTCCCCAAAATTCTTCACATCAGCACTCACACTCTGACCACTCACTTTCACACGATGGAATAGATAACGATTCTTGATCATTAAAACCACCCAGAGCTAGCAGTAAATTCAACACTGTAGTCAGTGTCCAGCCTTTCTTTCAACATCACGAACTTATGCTTTGGTCATGGTCATTATGATGCTGGCAGGGCTATGCTTCTCTGAGGGTCTGGTCAGTTCAGGTCATTAGAAGTTTCTTCATGTCTGATAGAGGCCCTTCTTGAACTTTTTGTTAGTATCATTGCTTCAAAGAAACAGAACCTTTAACAGCTTTTGACACTTTATTCTTGAAGATCAGAGCTGTGGTGGAAGGAACATGCCTGACTGCTGAGTAATAACTATCACCAACTTTCCACCCACACCTCTGCAACCAGTCCCTCAATGACACTGTTTAGCAGAATGCCTTGAATGTGCCATCTTTTATATATATTTTTAATTGATTTTTTAGAGAGCGATAGAAACATCGATGTAAGAGAGAAGCATCGATTGGCTGCATCCTGCATGCGTCCTACTGGGAATTGAGCCTGCAGCCCGGGCATGTGTCCTGACCTGGAACGGAACCAGGACCTCTCAGTCCATGGGACGATGCTCCATCCCCTGAGCCACACAGGCCCGGTGAATGTGCCATCTTTTTTTCTGCAAAGATTCTGATAGAACTTCATACTTTCCTCAGGGCAAGTATTTCAAGTGTCCTAAGTTACAACCACCAGTTTGCAACTATGTCTCTCCACCCTGATAAAACCTCCCACAAGACAGATGATATTCACATCCACACAGCACCTGCCCCTCACCTTGGCACAAAATTGGTATGAAGAACCTTTGCTAAACTGAATTAGAATGCAGAAATGGAGCGATAGGAGGCCAGAATTTGGAAAAGACTTGAGGGTTTTTTGTTTCTGTTTTTTATTTAAAGTGGGTAGGGTGTGAAAGAGAAATATCCAAGAGAGATGCAGTTTGTAAAGGAGGAGAGTGGAATGATTTGTCTCAACGTTATCACAGAAAGGAAAAATGACAAGCACCTGGTGTTACAATGTCACCTGTTAAGTGAGGTGGGGAGCTGTGTTACAATGTTAGTTGTTAAAGGACTTCTACTTGTTTCAGTGCCAGTTATTGAATGAAGTGAGCTCTGTTACAATGTTAGTTGTTGAAAAACTTCAAGTCGTTACAATTTCAGTAGTTGAGTGAAGTGGGGAGCTGTGTTACAATGTTAGTTCTCTAGTGACTTTGAGTTGTTACAATTTGTGTTAAGTAAGGAAGAGCTGTGCTACAATGTCAGCTGCTGCAGTGAGTAAGGGAAAGAAGGAGTAAAGTTCATTCAGCAATTTGGAGGTCACTGTGGCCTTTGAGACCAGTGTCCATGGAGTGGCCTGCATTCAAGCCACATAAAAAGCATCTCAGTAGCAAACTGACAACCAGAAAGAAGGAGCAACTAGTTAAGACTAGTATTTTAATGAGTAAGTTTTTAAATTAAAAAAGGAATACATGAAGATATTTACACAAGATGAGTTTAGAATCTAGAAGTCCCGGTTGAACATACTGCTTCAAACACATAGCCATAATAGATATACAAATTATAAAAACAGAAGGACTTAAAAACAGTTACTGGACCAGAAACACTGAGGGGTGAGAGTGGCCCCAGTCTGCTGGCTTCCGGGTCTGGACGTAGGTGATGGGAGTGGGAAATGGGCTCACTCTGGGGGGCTTGGGTTGGGCTGTCCTACTTGGGGTGGGATAAACCAACCGACCACCAAAACCTGTTGCTGACAGCTGCCTAGGGCTGCAGGTACTACTGATAGTCCTTGGATGTTTGAAGGGGGCCATCAAGCAGTTTGGGGACATTCCAAACAATTGTGTTAGGGGTGGCAGCTGTTGTGTGGCCAGCTGCTTCCCAGAACAAGTGGGGGTTGCTGGGGGCTCTTAGGGTAAGCCTCCGCAGGAGACATGACTGCATGGCAAGCAGTCTCAAAACAGACCATGCTGCTTTCCAAGTCTCCATGGAACATTAGGAAAACGACTAGCCACTGGGAGTGGGGTGCAGGGAGACCCGTGAACACTACTGGTCCCTAGCATTTTGGTTCTCGGATTATAAAAACCTATTCTCCGGACAGGGTTTAGAAATCTGACCACATATTTAGCCAGGAAGAAAACCTCAAAATGAAAAAATGTTGAGTCCAGACCAAATTCCTGAGCTATAAATCAGTAACAATTTTATAAATTAATATCATGATAGCAAAATCCAGAACTTTCTGAAGACTAGGCCGCTCTTTGGAGACAGCTTGTGGAAATAACAAGATCTTAAGAAATAATAAAACCTAGGGGAAATTTTTTAAGTTTGGGAGAAACCTGAACATATTTGCATGGGGAAAACCGAGTGAGGAAGTAGGAATGAAAACTACCAGAAATTAAAAGTACGGTGGAGCAAGGCCTACATGGGCATGAGCCCTGGAGACGGCTTCACCGACTGGGTGGGGGTAGGAAGAGGATGGGGCGCCGGGGAACAGGACTCGGTCCGTGGGAGGAAGGCGAGGGCCCTGATAACGCTGTGAAAACAGGAACAAACGCAGGTGCGCAGCAGCGCTGCAGGACCACACGGCCACGGCGCACACCGGGACGAGGTCAAGGCTTTCTCGGGCAGTTGCAGGGCCCGGAGCAGCTCGGGGCGCGGAAGGGTCGGCACCCCGGGGCTCTGCGGGCCGCCGGGGGCTTCTCCAGGCTCGGCCTTCCCACGGGCGCCACGTGCTGCCGCCTGCAGTTCGGCCTCTACCTCCGGAGGGTGCGTCGCGCGGGGACCCCAGGCCCTTCAGGACTCCGGGTTCGAGAGGGCGGGGCCCCACGTGGCGCCGTCCACCGGCTTTCGGAGAAGGCTCCGGAGCAGGCGCGCGCGGCCGAGCGGGCCCCGACGGGGACCCGACACGCGGTGCAGGTAGGCCAACTCGTAGCGCATGCGCACCGCGCTTCCGTTGGCACCCTCGCTTGGTGACGTCACCATGCCCCGAGAATCAGGGGGCGGAGCCTCCTCCTACGGCTCGCGCTCGGGCCGCGCGGTGACGTCATCGGGCCCCCGCCGCGCGAGGGCGGAGTCTCCGCTGCCTCCGCCTCCTGCTCGCGCCCTCGCCGCGGGGTGTCGTCATCAGTCCGCGACGCGCGGTGACGCCATCAGACCCCGACTCGCCGGCGGCGGGGAAGGGCCTGCGAGCCGCGCCTCCGCCGCGTTGGAGCCGAGGGAGGAGGGCGGGGAAGGGCGGAGGGCCAGGGGCAGTGGGGCGGGAGGTGGCGGCCGGAACATGGCGGACCAGATCCCTCTGTGCCCGGTGCGCAGCGCGGCCGCGGCCAACCGCAAGCGCGCGGCCTACTACAGCGCGGCGGGGCCCGGGCCCGGGGCCGAGCGGCTCGGCAGGTAACGACGGCCCGCCCCCCGCCCCCCGGCGCCCCCTCCCTCCCCGCCGGTGGGCCGCGCCTGGAGCCCGAGGGCGCCCCACCCCCGGAGCGGCCCCGGGGCGCTGTCCGGGCCGAGCGGGCCCGTCCCCGGCGCCAGGCCCCACCGGCCGGGCTGCGGCTCCGAGGCTCGCGCTGCCGGGCCCGAAACTCACGAGTTGTGACGACGACCCGCGGCCACTGTCCCCGCGGGAGGGGCCCCGCGCGCACGGCTGTGGACACGGGCGCGGTGTGAACACGCGTTACAAAGCCCCGTCCGGGGGCGGCCGCGTTTGCTTCGGGGGCGATGAGACTCGCGGGCGCGGGAGGTTCCGGGCCACTGAGCGCGGAACGGAACCACGGGCCCCTGATTTAAAAGGGGAGGCTCGTCCCCTATTGGTTTTAACCCGTGTTTATCTCTCACCCCCCCCCCCCCCCAAATACTGCATTGAATACATGATACAGTCGTTAGAAACAGAAACTGATGAAGACGGGGAGTGTTGTCGTTGCTGAAATGTTATTCCCGAGACGTTGTGGACGCAGTTGACCTTTAGTGCCCAGAGGGGGAAACTACACATTTCAGTATCCACGTGCTGCAGGATTCCAGTTTGAGACTGTTTGTTTGTTTAGTAACGGGCATTGCAGTGCTACAGAGCTGCCACGAATCTCCATTCATTTACTTACTAGCTGTTTGACCTCAGGCACCTTATCTAAATATGAGCCCTGATTTTTCTCAGCAGTAAATGGGGGATACTATTTTTCTCATGGGATTGTCAAGGATTACAGAAGGTCCTAGAAAGGTGCCACGTTCAGTGGGGCTGGAAGTACCATTTCTCCTTCCCTCCCTGTTACCACCTATACCAGGGGTTGGTAATTATCCAAGTGTTTGACTTCCGGAGATCATTATCTAGAAATACACTACCTGTTTCACAATAGGGTTCCCTAACAGTGTGGGTCTGTCAGTCTTCACTTCACACGTTTGAGGCCCTGTCGTTTGGTGTGTACACATATAGGACTCTCATGTCTTCTAGGTGGGTTTCTTTTATTGTGCAAAGTTCCCCTCTGCCTCTGGTAATTTCCTTTGTAGTCTATTTTGTGAGATATTACCGTAGCCACTCCTACTTCTTATGGATTAATGTTTGCATGGTGTTAGCTTTCAGCCTATCTACATTTTTGAATTTGAAGTGAATTTCTTGTTGAATTGTATTTTTCCATTATGCACCCCATCAGTCTCTGCCTTTCATTTGCTGTATTTAAACCATTTACATTTAAGGTAATTATTGATACAGTAGAGCATAAGTGCCATTTTATTATGTTTTCTGGTTTTTGTTTGTATGTTTGTTTGTTTTTTCTGATTTCTCATTTCTCTGCTTCTCTTCTTGCTTTCCTTTGGTTACTTGGACTTCTTTTGTTATCTCTGTTTGGAAACCTGACTCCCATTACAGTTTCTTCACCCACCTTCTTCCTCCCCGCATTTTAAAATTATGTCCTGAGTATCATATGGTGTTATACTTTTTGTTTAAATCATCAAATGAGACATAAAACTTGTGACAGTAAGTCCATTGTATGTACCCATATTTTTGTTTTCTTATTCTTCCTTCCTTTCTGATGTTCCAGTATTCTATTTCTTTTTATTTCCTATCCATTGGAAGAACTTCTGATAGCCAATCTTGACATTTATTTTATCTTAGAATGTCTTTATTTCATTCCAGAAGGATAGTTTTATTGGATATAGAATTCCTGGCTCACAATTCTTAGGTCTTGAAAACTTGTTTCACTTTCTTCCATCCTTCATTGTCTGATTAAAAGTCTGCTGTCATTCTCATTGGTTTTCTCTTATAGGTAATGGGTCCTCTCTCTCTGGCTGCTTTCAAGTTTTTTCTTTGTGTTTAGTTTTCAAGTTTAATTATGATGTATCTTGGTGTGGGTTTTTTAGATTGTTGTTCGGTATCCATTAAGCTTCCTGAATCTGTTGTTTTTTGTTTCACCAAACCTAGGGAACTGTTAGCGTTATTTCTTCAAGCACTCTTTCATTCCCACCCTTTCACCTCTCCTTGCAGAACTCCAGTGCTACAAAAGTTGGGTCATTTTGCTAGTGTTATATAATTGCCTTAGGCTTTTTTTTCCAGTCTCTTTTCTCTGTGTTGTTCAGATTGTGTAAATCCTATTTATTTGTTTTCAAGTTTCTTAATTCAGTCCTCTGTCATCTTCACTCTACTGTTGATTCCACTCAGTGATGTTTGATTTTTAGTATTGAGTATTGTATTTTTCAGTTTATAATTTCTGTTTGTTTCAAAACAATTTGTAATTAATTATTGATACATTTTTATATTTTCAGCTTAAAATGTAACAAAATTTCAGTGTCTGAGTTAATCTTAGTTTTTGGTCTCAGTTAATTGTCTTTTCTGATTCATATTATAAGTGTTCTGGTTCTTGGTATGACTGATGGTTTACCACTGTATCCTGGATATTTGTCTATAATGTTAGGAGAATGTGGGTCCTGTTTATATCTTTTCTAATGGGATTCCTTTGTGGTCAAAGAACATACTTCATGTGATTTCACTTATTTTAGATTTGGTGCAGTTTGCTTTGTGACCAAGGATATAGTCTATGTTTGTAAGAATTTGAGGCCTTTGGAAAGAAAGTATATTGTTTGTAAGAATTTGAGGCCTTTGGAAAGAAAGTATATTGTGTTGTTGTTGGGTGAAATGTTCTGAAATGTTGACGAGATCCTGTTAGTTAATGGTGTTGAGTTCTTCTGTCTTGCTGGTTTCCTGTCTGGTGGTTCTGTCAGTTGTTTAGTGGGATGCTGAAGTCTCTGATTGTAGTTCTGCTTCCCTTGCTTTGCAGATTTGTCGTTGGTGCTTCGTGTTCTTGATGGAGTGACTTCCATCTTTTTACTTGAAACCTACTTATCTTAGAAGTGAGTTTCTTGTAGTTGGTGAATGGTTGATTTATATATTGGATCCACTCTGCCAATCTTATGATTAGTGTATTTAGAACATTTATCTACAGTGTAAGGATTGATAAATTAAGGCTTATTCTGCCATTTTACTTTTCATTTCCTGTATTTTTTGTTTCTCTTTTTCCTGCCTTCTTGTTACTGGGATACTGGGATATTGTTTTAGAATTATATTTGGATTTATCTGTGGTGTTTTTCAGTATCTCTTTATAGATACTATTTAGTGGTATGTCTAGGTATCATACATACATAACTCGTCACAGTATAATGGTGTCAATATTTCATCCGTTTGAGTAGAGTAGAATTCATACCTTTTTACATCCTTTAATGCACTCTACTGATAATGTAGTGATCTTGTAAAATTATATGTAAACTTTGTATATGTAAAAGTATATAAATATTTTTCTTAAATATAGTTAGGACCGAATAACAGAAAATGTTACAATTTTTGCTTTATTTTTCAAACATAATTTATAAAATTCAAGAGGAGAAGAAAAACCTATTGTATTGACCCATGTTTTTTGCTCTTTCTGTTTCCTTATTTCCTGATGTCCCAGAATTCTTTATTTCTGTTCTGTTTTAAAAATTTCTTAGCTATTCTTTTAAAATTGGTCTGCTGGAAACTAACTCTCCTTATTTTATTTTTTTTTAATCTGAAAATATCTCATTTCCCCTTTATTCCTGAAGGATAATTTCAGCTTATATACAATTTGGGGTTGACAGCAATTGAAAAATGTTATGTTCCTTTCTGGCCTCCATGATTTCTGATGTGAAATCTGAAGTCATTTGAATGTTTTCTTCCTCTGTAGCTAAGATCTCATTTCTCACTACTTTCAAGCTTTTTTCTTTTGTCTTTAGTTTTTAGTAGTTTGATTATTATGGGTCTTGACATGGTTTCTTTGTGTTTGTACTGTTTGGGGTTTACTTAGCTTAGTGAATCTAATAACGCACTACATAGTCTCAGTCAATGACACCTAGACGAGAGGAAAATGATCTTCCATCTACCCTAATGACAGACTGTGTACAGGAAAGTGGTCCCATAAGATCAAAATGCAATTGAAAAATTCCTGTTGTCTAGTGATGTCCTAGCCTTCATCAAGTTGAAACTCAATGTCTTACACAAATACTCACCACTGTGTTGCAGTTGACTACAGATTCAGTACAGTAACATGTATACAGGTTTGTAGCCTAGAAGCTGTAGAACAGAAAACAAAAAATATTTCCTTGGCATAAAGATTATTTTAGGCAGGTTTTAAGAAAAGTGGACATGGGAGAAGCTCTGAAAACCAACTAGTTACCCTTTGTAACAGCATTTATATTTATAAGGGAATCTCTATTTTTAAGGGTGTCTCTTGCTGTATTAGGAAAAGGGGGTGATCTTATCTCCAGCACTCTTATCAGTGAGGAACACAGGACTTAAATCTGTATAACAAGCTACTCTGTGTTCTTTCTGGTCACCTCCTGTAATTGACTCCCCCTGCCTCCAACATCTTCCATATTCAACTGAGAATGGTACTTAAGGGGGTGGCTTTAGCCATTTTTGGCGAATTACTCAGCTTTCCTGGGAAGACGTTTATACAGGAGGCATATGTGTTATTAAACTTCTGTCTGTCTTTATCCTGTTAATTAATATCTTTTATTACAGGGGATCTCAGCCAAGAACCCAGAAAGAAGGGTAGAGGGAAGATTATTTTCCTCTCCTCCAGAGCAATGGGCTATAACATGCAGCCTAGGTGTGCCATCCAGGCTGTGTAAATGCCTCTGCTGTTCGCACACTGACGGAATAGCCTAACGGTGCGTTTCTCGGAACACGTCCCAGTCCAGTGGTGCCTGGCTGTGTGAGTGTCTGTCTTTGGTCAGATCAGAAGATTTCAGCCATGTGTGGAAGTTCTTTTGAGCCCAACCTTCTTTCACCTCTTCTGATGCTCTAGTGCTACCTCGTGAGATCTGCTCTGGTGGTTCCATGTGGTCCCGAGTTTCTGCTGACTTGTTTGAAGACCATTTTCAGTTTAGATTGGGCA